ACTGCTGTTGGGGTCTTCGAGATCAGGTACATATGGTTCAAGGAACTGTAGAAACAGAACAATTTGGACAGGTCCAGTTGGTGCTTTTGTAGTTGGGATAGTGGTTGGAGTTGCTGCAACTGTTGTTGTAGTTGCAGTTGTTTCTGGTGGAGTGGCTGTTGTTGGAGCAGTGTCACTGATGCTGATGGAGGCCCTTTCGATGTCAAAGCCGCTCACATTTGAGGCTTGACCGATCAAAACATTCCTAATCTCAGTGTAATTTGGGACAGAAAAGTTTACAAACTGAAGTTCCATGGTGTTGATGACTGATCCCTTGCTGCAAATGCAGAAACACAAGTTATTGTTTTGAATATGAGCTTTTTAGGTCAGTGCCCTACATGATATGTCAAAATATGGAAATTACCTGAAGCTCACCACATCCAAGGAGACAAAGGAAGAGGGGAAAGCCATACTGTAAACAGGTTCAATCTACACACACAAAAGAGATTTTCTTAAAACTATTTTTTCTGTTGTATTTTTTTAAATATTTGAAATACGTATGAACATTATAGACATCTTCTTGTGTGTGGAAATTTCATCCCTTTGAATGAAGAATAACAAAACAGAAATTATATTGAACTGAAGCGCTCTGTAGGTATTGAAACAGACTGATGTGTTAGGATTACAGTCATGGTAGAGGTGCTTATGTAGTTAAACAAAAAAAAATTAACATGAAAATATTGTTGGAAAAGGGCATTAACCTAATACTGAGAGGAAATTAATTTCACAAAGGATTTTGGGAAAAACAGTTACTGACCTGTGTCTTTATCATTAAAGATCGACTTATAAAGGCTGCAGATGATGAATTCAACAAGTCTGTTTCAAAATTGCTCTGAAGTGATCTGAATGTGACATATCTCATTACTGTATCCCTGCCAGTTGTTGGAGGGATTGTTGTGTTTTGAACTGCTGTTGTGGTTGATGAAGGAGCGGTCATGGTGAATGGAAGGGCAGTGGTGGAGGGCGGGGCTTTGGTGGTTGATGGGGAAGGGGCCGTCACTGTTGGAGGTGCAGTCGTGGTTGTTGTTGCAGCTGTTATGGCTGTCAGAGATGCTGTTGTGGTTGTTGGAGCTGTGGTTGTTGGTGTTGCTGTTCTGGTTGTTGGAGCTGCAGTAATGGTTGTTGGTGCGGTGGTTATTGATGTTGGAGCTGTAGTTGTGGTTGTTGGAGCAGGTGCTGTGGGT